TGACTTCCCCAGCGGCATACCCATAATTGTATAACCCATTTGTTTATTTTTAATTCCAAAGTGCATTACTTTGCATTTATCGACATTAAACCTCATCTGCCACATTAATGCCCACTCCCCTATTTTATCCAGGTCCTCCTGTAATGTTATAGTGTCTAAGTCCGTGTCTATTACCCTCCCTATTTTGGTGTCATCCGCAAACACGGAAATATCGCTGTTAACACCCTCCCCGATGTCATTAATAAATAAGTTGAACAATATGGGACCCAGCACAGAACCCTGAGGCACACCGCTCATTACACTAGCCCAGTCTGAAAAGGTGCCATTTACAGATACCCTCTGGACCCGTTCCCATAGCCAGTTCTCTATCCACGTACACACCACCTCACCTATGCCCATAGCCCTCAGCTTGTGAAGCAAGCGTTTGTGTGGTACTGTATCAAAAGCCTTTGAGAAATCCAGATATACCACATCTACCGGCTTACCTCCGTCCATATCTCTACTTACCCCCTCATTAAATCTTAAAAATGCATTTAAGTACCCAAACTATTTTTTTTTAAAATACCGTATATACTCGAGTATAAGCCGAGTTTTTCAGCCCATTTTTTGTGCTGAAAAGTGCCCCCCTCGGCTTCAGTCAGCGTTATTTAACCCATTCATGTTAGCAGAGGATCATTGTAAATGTATTGTTGCAGGCACTCTATATGTACATGTACTATATACTACATATAGAGTGCACTGAACAATATTATCCTCTGCTAATATGAATGGGTTAAATGATCCGTAGTACATGATATGTAGCCCTGTTTCCCCTTTTCCACTTAGAGCTAGGTTATTTTTTTTCTAATAAATATTAATGTAATTTTATTGGTATCTATCTTCATTTTGTACATTTACCAGTAGCTGCCTCATTTCCCACCCTAAGCTTATACTCGAGTCAATATTTTTTCCCAGTTTTTTTGTGGTAAAATTAGGTACCTCGGCTTATATTCGGGACGGCTTATACTCGAGTATATACGGTATCTTATTTGTGTATCACTCAGCTGTAGATCCTCAAATCATCTCTGAATTGGTGCCAACACTGTCCTTCCACCTGGAGGGTGGCTACTTTTGTTCCCCATGGTCCGTGTGTGTGTTGTAAAATAGACAGCGCTCCAAGCTCTCTCCTGTGATAGACTACAATCTCACGTTTAGTTTACTAATTTGTATTGAGATTGTAGTCCATCACAGGAGCAAGTATCTACTTTGCGACACACACATGGAACATGGCCGCCACCCTCCAGAAGGAAGGACAGTGTGAGCACTAATTCAGAGGTGATTTGAGGAGCTACAGCTGAGTGATACACAAATAAGGCTCAGTATTGTTAATGGTTAACGTTTAGTTTAGTGTCTCTGTAATGTTTAAAGCACATAGATAAAACAAGTGGGTACATCCCAGAACACCCATCGGAACTGTGACACCACACCCCTGAATACAATACATGAAAAAACAAAAATGTGTATGGACAGTCATGCACCAAATGCATGACCATTACAACAAAAAAAGTCCAGGGAGGTATAGTTAAAGTATTTATTATCCACTGTTTGTAACTTTTTAGACCAATGAAATGTTTAAGTATATTGAGATCATGTAAATAAAAATATCTTTGTTATATTATATATTTATGACCAGTCATCATGTCTTGTTACCAAGTTAAGCCATGTTATCCCACATTCATCATTGGGCACTTTTAAAGCCCCATTATCGCTTTGTTTTTTCATGTAATTTTTAAAGCCCAGTTTTAATAAATAGTTGGTACTTTATGTACATGAGGGCAGAAGGCTCTGCTTCTTGTTGATCCTCTCATCTTACAGATAGTACCTGCCTGGTTGAAGTGAACTCTTTGCAGCCTCGCTCATATGTGCACAATAAAGTCAGAGACCTAAACTGTTAGTGACATGCTGAAGTTAAGAGACGTTTCTAGCCAGATCAGGGAAGAGGCACTTTTTTAAAAACACAAAAATATAATGTTGCACTGTAAATGTTGATGGCTTGACTATTGATTCTTGCGAAGTGCCATTGTTTTTTTTTTTAATAGTTCTTTACCTAGCAGTATTTTAGCATATACCATTAGTGAGTATTACCCCACATTATAAGGATAGAATGGTGTACCAATGTATTATTTGTATTCAACATAAACATGAATGATCTTTAAAAGTTACTCATAGTAGGTCTATTCAAGTGTAGCAATACCACCAAGTAAGCTCAGCCCAGTGTGTACATACCCAAGGGTTTCACGAATAATTTTCAATGGATTTTACCAATAGTATGTATAATGTGACCAGTCCTATTTGAGTGCACACAGAAGAAGAAAGAAGGAAGGAAAAACAGTATCAGTGGCAGGAAATTGTCCAATTCAGGTTATCATTTCCTCATGATTACTTTCCACACACACACACACACACACACACACACACACACGTGTCAAGTGCTCTTTGTGGCAGAGTAACACCTATATATTGTTCATTGGAACATTAAAGAGTCTGTTTATTGTAGTTCAATTCAATCAATATATAAAAAAGGCAAATTTGCTAAGTGAATAAGGACGTGTGAAAAATCACTGATTACTGTTCTTAGTTTGCATGTCCATAGCTTAGGATGTGCCAGATTTCTGAAAAAGCGATAGAGAGGTGTGAAAAAAAACCAAGCAAGATAGAGGCTGACTGTTATTATGATAAGCTTGTTCGGACTTTGTCTTAAACATGGATTGCAAGGATAGCTTTAAGCTGGCTATAGACTTCAGAGAATGGTTGGCATGGTCCAATCGTCTCCTACGCCAATGTCTACCCTCACTATAGAACTCTAGTCACATGAGAGCTCATGTTCAGGATTTTGGGGAAGGGAGGAAAAGCCATCCTGAAGAGTCCCGTCTTAAGGTCCCCACACACCTTGCAATAATCGTACGATAATCGCCGGAAATCCTGCGATAGTACGATTATCGTAAGGTGTGTGGAAGCCGTGCGACCTCTACTACTGTAAGGTCGCACGACTTTTAACTTACGAACATGTTCGAAAACCCGCCGAGCATCGTACGATGTTCGGCGGGTGTGTAGCATGTTCGTAAGATAAAAGCTGGACAGGCCGGTGTGCGCAAGCGGACTCTGCCCATTCGGCATTGTGGTCATCGGAAGCCCGCCCCTCAGAGGGGCGCGGCTTGCGATCATCGCAAGTACGATCTGCCTGTCCAAGATAGGCAGATCGTACGTTTTCTTAATTACCTTACAACCATCGCAAGACAAAAGTCTTGCGATGGTTGTAAGGTGTGTGCCCAGCACTAGGCTGGTTGAATTCTGCCCGATAGACATTGGAGAGTCACCTGATCCATCCAAGAAAGTCAATGACAGACCTTAGAGGATGTTTATGCAATGAAAGTATTTGTGTTACAGCAAACATTGAATATCCACAGGTCTTTTTCAAAGTTCCCTGGCTGAGCTTTCTCAGATTAAAATCATTAAGAATTCAGCACTGGCAGGAAGATCCCTTATAAAGTCTGGAGTAGTGTAAATAATTATATCGATCACTTCCACTAGGTGTTAGAACCATGGAAGTCTTTAGAACAGCCAAAAGAAAAAGGCACATGTGTGTATATACACTGCAATTCCTTGGCCTATGGGTTTCATATCCCAATAGTCATGCCTCAATGTACTCTATTCCACCAATACCCACTCAGTGGAGTAAAGGAAAAATCAGTTTTCCCCCTATATTTTAGGAAACTTATACATACCAAAATGCAGTCAGACAAATATATAGGTTCTGCCAGGGTGAATGAAGCCTTGGAGTAACACAGGGAAAGTTGGGAGTATCTAACCATCTTCACATAGATTGCGTGTTTATGGAAGGAGATGATCCAAGCAGATGCATGTCCTTCTTGTAGTGCATTGAAAGCCATTCATCAGAAGGCACAGTAGAGAGTGCTATGTTTGCAAATCTCTTTCTGCAATGCCGTGTGATCTCTCACTGTGTCCTCTGACAGATAGCTTCTGTCTGATGTAGATTGCTTGAAAGCTCTGTGTGTCCTGTATGGAGCTGTCCATACTCACTTTGTTTTCAAAGCCCTTAGGTTACTTTATTATGCAATTTCTGCTTCCCCTTCTGACAAGGCCTAAAGCAGTATCACCCTTAGGACATGCCCAAACACATGAATGAATATCAGTGTGAAAAGGGGAGGGGGGGGGGGGCACCAGCAGGG